GCACCAAATGCGACTTATTTTTGTCCTTGGTGCTTGTGCACTAAAAAGGATATAGATATAAAAGATAAAGTTTACACCATTGAAAAAAATATGGAACAAATTAAAGCTGCAAGACCACCACCCGGGCATTCAAAAGCACATCTCATTCCAATGATCTCTCTAGATCATTATGTATCTGACAAGCTCCATGTTATGTTAAGAATTTATAACAGATTGTAGGAATTAGTCATCCAGGAACTTAAATTCGAACGTAGATATGATGAATATAATAGAAAAGTTATTGTCAAAGAGATAGATAGAATTTTAATAAATTTTCAATTTTGGCAGGAACATAATATGGAAAACTGGAATTATACTCCCCTAATGGGAGATGACAAGGAAAAGATATTGCATGGTTTTAACTTTGATGTTATTTTTGACAAAGAGCGGGCTACATTAATCAATCATTTGTGGAGAGATTTTTATATGCTTTACAAACTTATGAAGCAACCAGGAACTGATTCGTTTTTTTTTTGCAGATCAAGCAAAAAAATAGCTTGACTTATTTCTTACACCTCATGAGGGTGAACCAAATATAATATCCTTTAAGAAAGGTCTTTATCGTTCGAAAGATGTAACTCCATACATACATGTTTTGATTAATCTTATCTCAGAGTTTATGGCTCATCATCGAAATTTTGGTATTTATGCTATTCCCCACATTTAATTATAATGGAGCTCCAGAATTAATCAATATGAATCCTATTTTTTCAAAAGTATATACAGTCAGATCTTCATAAGTGCACTTCCCTAAGTGTACAGATTATGTAAATTTTCTCTAAAGAGCTCTATATATTTTGCTCTCTATAAATGCGCACTCTCTCTAAGTGCACACTTTTCAAATTTTTTCCTATGATCTCGAGAGGGTGCATTTAGGGAGGTCTGACTGTATACTTATTGCATAATTACTTACTGGTAGATATTTACCAAATCTAATTTAATTTAAAATAAGTTAATTCTGAAACCCCTAATGCTAATTGCATCAATTGCATTAATCTTTTCTTTTTTCTATTAGGGTTTGCCGCATTTTCTTGTGGCGCCGTCGAAAAAAAGAATCATAATCAGGTTTTAACTTTTTTTAGAAAAACAATGAAAAATAGTGGCAATGGGGCAGAAAGAAAATCCACGATTTTCGAGATGCTTGATTATGAAAATAGATCTTTATATTTTAATAGCCTAAAATTTGATAAATTAGGACCTAAACCTCAGTATTTTTATATCAAAGAAAATGAATTTTAAGTACAATCATAATATTATGCTAGAATGCATTATCATCCATCTCTATATATAGACAGAAAATGTTGCACTTAAACTGTTTCAAAATTTAATAAATTTTTAGATAACTTGGAGCTTGCTTCAATAATAATACTAAAAATTGGCCATTTTTAAAAATCGTTCATAATTCAAAAAATTTGCACAACTAACATAAATTTTTCCTTATAATTCTTTTATAAAAATCTTAAATCTTGTACAAATTTAATAAACAATAAGAAATGCATTGATTATTACGTATATAGACAACTCAGAGTCTTTCATAAATGTTTTGAGTGAAGATCTTTAGACCTTTTCATACGAAAAATAAGATTCTTGGGTATACGATAACATATTAATTTAATATGGGTGACATCAAGAAAAAACTAATCAATCACATAAATTTACACTTAGCCGACTTGAAATTAAAACCTCGCTTAACGTTATTTTTTTCGTATTATAAAGGGGGAGGGATGAAAATTAAACGAAAAAGCCTGACTGCTATACTGGCAATCAAATTTCATTTTATTTGTTTAATTTTTGGGGGAACCCGGGAGATGGAGGGGGAATAACGTTAAACGAAGTTTCAACTTCAAGCGGCCTTATTATAAATAATGAATGAAATGATTAGTTTGACCAACAATTAACTATTAAAATTTTTATTATATCACAAGTTTAAACTTGTAATATATAAAAGCTTAAATGTATATATCCAGCTACAGCTTGATTATTTTTCGCATCCTTTTGGCTCTTTGTTTTCTATTCGATCGTTAATTTTGGCAGTTAGGGCTTTTTTTTTATGTTGTTCTCTCTTTTTAGCTTGTGCATCAAATAACAGAACAAACGTTTGATGGCCATTATCAAAAAATTTTCGCCCCTAATTTTCATCATTAAGAAGATTGGCTAATTGTAAATACGCATTTGGTCCCTAAAAAAAACACCTGTAACTACCATTTTTATAATTAAAGTAATGAATGTACCCTTCAAAAAACCCCAAAAACAAGCTTTCTAAACACAGAAAAGAAAGAATTTGTTTGCCTGATTGCTTAAAGTGTACTTTGAGCTTACTTCTTATAATATAAATCAGATAAGATTTAAATTGATTTACCGCTTCTAAAGGTAACGCATATAACCCTTCACGGCGAATATTATATTTTTTAACAACGCTCTTGTGGCGATTTAAACCTCTATTTGTTCTAAAAAATTTTCTACAAATTTCACACTCAAAACATTGTTGTGAGCTAGAATTTGAAGAACTATCATCGTGGTGATATATCATTCTTTACACACTAAGTTGGTATAAAAAAATATTAACTTTATATTGGTTCTAAAATTTTACAGGTTAAAACCTAGTAATAAAAAATAAAAACATATTTATTAGCGCTAACAAATGAATAATCAGATAAACTTGAAAGCCAAACTTGCAACATTTATTTATAAATGTTGATTCTTACCGAAATATATAACAACTTCCAATATAATGACCTATTGATACAGTAAAACCTCCATGTAATAGAGCAGGACTTAATTTACCTCTGAATTCTCACTTTCTATAATGAATTGGCTGATTTTTGACGATTAACAAATGCTTTATGTTTCCTTTTAACACCAATTTCACAATAATGAAGATTTGATAAGCCTGACACACTATATGACAGCTTTTCTTTATTGCCCAGGCTCTATATTATATTTGAGTATATTAGTTACCACATAATAAATATAAATAAGTCGTATTTAAATTATATTTACTTGACTTGTCACTATACTTGCCGGAAAAACCGGACTTGTCGCTATACTTGCTGGAAAAACTGGTCAAATTACTGATTAATAAAGTTCTTGAGTATTAGTTTTACCCTGAAGCTGGATTTGATTGTAAACATACTTAAGCTATACTACCTCAAGGTTTCGGCGGAAAGCTAATCATCGCTCAAAGCTTTGGCGGCGAGCCAATCATTCGCTTGAATCTTCGCTCTAGAAACAAAAAGCTAAATAGAGTCAAAAAAAAAAGTTAAAGAACAAAAATTAACCTTATAATAGTTATTATAGTTCTTACCCACGCAATTACTAAACAGTACAATTGGTTTTGAGGCTGGACAATTGGTTTGACGTCGTTTGTACATATAAAATTTTCTTTTTTAATTTTTTATTTATTTTTTTGGGGGTACAAAAATAATCAGCTGATAATGATTTACATATAAATTTAGGGCCCTAAAAAAGGTCCAATTCCATAAATCCGCTTATACGTTCTGATACAGAATAAGTTTTAAAAAGTTCAATAAATTGTTGAGCCCAATTTATTATTAGATTCTAAATAAAATAAAAAAATATTAATATTTGTTAAGAAAATTTTTTAATTAAATATTTCAATATTTCAAATTAATTTGCATAGTTGCAAAATATATATATACCTCAAAATCTTTTAAGTCATTATTAGTAAATTCTTTATAACGACTTAAAATATACATCTTATTCCAATCTTCATAAATATTTAATAACTTATTTTGAATAAAATCGCTTATATTCAGATTATCTAGAACAAATATTATAACTTTCATAAGATTACAATATTCATTTGCAATAATTCTGGCAAGTGATTGAATTCTATTTTTAAAAATTTTAAGTTCCAGAAACCTTGGAATATTAGCTAATCTATTATCAATTATATCAAGAATTGAGCCACCATATTTTTCTTTTAAAAGGTCAAATGTAAAATTAATTTGATTTTTAAATAATCCTAAATCTAAATGGTGCATTCTATCAATAACTGTAGCTTCATAAATATTAATATTACTAAAATTAAAAAATATAAAAGTTAATATAAGTTTAATTATATATCGCATAATTATCAATCTATAAATATTAAAATAATTTAAATATATGCGAATTGTTGTGAATTACTATAATTAATATTGGATATAATTTGCAAAGTTAAATTTATGTTTGGATTAATTTTTAATTATTTCGAATATAATTACATTAATTCGCATTTATTCGAATTATTAAAATAAAGTAAAATCAAAATTTAAATTCAGATTATTACTTTAATAATTATTATGTTATTTTGAATATATTTAAATTATATTAATATTATTAAAGTAAATAAAAAACAACTCTTTCTTGTTGATTTGCTACGGTAGCCTTGACAGATTCTTTGAATTGTTTATTATAGACTTTAGAGTTGTTTTATTATACTGTTTTTATTAATTTTTCCTTTGTTCTTGAAGTTTTTTCCTCTATCTAATTCTAATTTCGACCTTATTTCAGCATCTTGTCTTTCTCTATCTTCTAGTAATCTTCTTAATCTGTCGCCTAACCTTAATTCTACTATAATACCGGCTATCTCTTCTTTTATAATT